TCGGGAGTTACCTAATAATATCGTTATTTCGTTACGCTATTCGCACTTACTCTCGGTACCTGCTTTCTTTATTATTATTCGTTACTACCATTCGTTATTATTATCGTCGTCGCCAACGATGTAATACATAATATATACATAGTATGTATAATATATATGCGTATGCGCGCGCGTGCGTACACACCTTATGTACAATATATACAGCAGCGTTTATCTCGATTCTTCGTTGTGCACTCCTTCCGATTACATATATAATATATATTTACTTTTTCTTTGTTGCGTTATATCTTATTGCGCGTGATTCGAAAATGAGGAATCGCGGTGTCCGATCAAAAGCTCTTTCACCGTGAAGCTTTTCACGTCGAATATTGAAGCGAAACAACGGTCTCCGCTCGTCGTGATTCGATTCTAAGTCGAAAGTCGTATAAAGAAAATTGATCGCCGAGCGACGGTATCGTATTCACATCGACGAATTTCGAAACTGCCTGTACTGTATTCTCCTCTTCCTTATCTGGGCTCGTACTCTCAACATTCTCGTACTCTAAAATCATTATCATAAAGGGTATCGAAAATGTTTTCTTGACGCTTTGCGTCCCAGCTTCTTTTCTGAAACTATTATACTTTAATTAGTGGCTCTTTGGTTTTGAAACGAAACCACCTTCAGTTTTTAATTTGTACGGGTCGTAATTGAACATTTGCGTTATTTTTAAAAATTTGAAATACAGCAATATTATTTACGCTTGCTTAATATCAAAGGATTAATCGAACGCAAGCGACTAGAAATGTTCCTTCTCGAGTCACTTTACGCTTTCTTAAAGTTTCCAAATTCGTCGACGAGTTTGCGACGTGAATTGCCAGCGGAAGTCGCTCGATCGCCGAAGCGCCGGGAAATGCGATGGCGCGGAGAACGAATTCTTTTATCAACCTCGCGAGATTACGGATTTGAGGCGAGCGTGCGCGATCGGGAAAATTAATCTAATTGTAAGTCATTCGTGTTATAAAGCATCTCTCTACTTCCCAACTATTTGAACTTTCGAAAAGCACAATATCTCGTGGTAAGGCACTATTTGTTTATTCGTTACATCCTAACGGGCGTAGAGTGTGCCCGTAGAACGCAGGACAACGGCAGGAATCGTCGAAGTTCGCCTAAATACGTAAAAATCTTTTCTCTCTTTTTTTTCTCTTTTTATCAAAGTTCAGTCCAGCCGGTACATACGTCGTTAATTTAGAATGAAGAAAAAGAGAGAGGATCAACGAGCTTGTGGAAGGAGGACAGATACGTACGAGCAGAGGGCTTCCTCTTGCTTCTTTTCCATTTTTCTGTTTTTCTTTTCTTTTCTTTTGAAGACAGGCAGTAATACCGTACCGATGCTGATGAAGCGCTTACAGTACTTATCCATAACGGTAGTATTTGCCGATACGCGTGATAACCGCTAATTGTCTCTCTCGTTCTAAACACTAATTAAATGTAACAATGAACGGCTATATAAAGGCACTATGTTTCACAGACGTAGGATCCTTATAGGGAAATCAGCTGCCTTCATTCGTTCTCGTATGCGCGATCTCTTTACCTTTGGCCCGTTCGTTCGTTCCGCCTCCGTCCCCGAATATTCTTCGCGAACAAAAAGAAAAAGATGGGGAAACAGACACCGGCAACCTTCTCCCGCTTTATTGTCACGTATTTTCTTTCTCCCCGCGCGATAAAGAAATTTTATCGAGCTCGGATCGCGATGATAAGCCGCATCAATTTAACGCGAGACTCGCGACTCGAAGGCATCTAATCTCGCTAACGAGGAACTTTCATATTGCATGTCTATGGTTTAAAGATTTATTTAAACCTAGCCCACAGACAGACGTGGAGTGGTCGGTCGGCCGATAGCAGTTATGAGTTAGTAGACGCTAGAAAACGGCTCTAATTGTCGTTCGGTCGTTAACATTAGTGTTATTACTCTCTCGTTATTACTACTACTGGATAATGGCACGTCGCGTCGCCCGAGAGAAACGGTAACTCGTCGAACAAGTGGCCGGCTCTTTTATTGGCGAAAGCCAATCGTTCCGTTTGAGATAAATCTCGCAACGGATAGGCGTAAGAATAAATTATTCTTAATCAGGAAAGCTCAGTCTTGCTTGACGCGCCTCAGATAAACAGTCGTTTGCCGGCGTAACAATCCCCCTCATTACGTGATAACAATGACAATGTCGTATTAATCTCCGTAATAGATATAGATTAATTTTTACGTCGAAATAAAAACATCGAGTGAAAAATGTCTTATGAGATAAAAAGAATATTGGCAAAAAGTATCGTTGGAGAATAAGAAAATACATACGAATATAATTTTTTAAAAGGTACGCTATTGATAATCACACGGAAATAGACAACTTAAAGGGCAGAACGTCAAGTGAATAAACGATGGGGAAAAGCGTATTGTAAAAGCAAGGGCGAAATGGCGAAGCGCGAAGGAGATGAAGGGGGAAGAAGAACGCAAAACGAAGAGGTAGAGTGAAAGAAGACAATCCATGCATTAGATGAATCTATGTTTCAGTCGAAATGCAAAAACGTTCCACGCAGTATTACGAACGTACACAACAGATGTATTTAGTCTTTCTTAATTGAGAAAAGAAAAAAAAAATTCCTCGTCGGTGTATAATTACATTATTCGCATCCTGAGCTTCCTTTCTTTTTCACTTGGATCAGCGTAGACTCGTACTTTTGTTCGGTCTTTACGACGACTACAAAAATTCACGAAAATCATCGAGAAACCTCAGAAGATCTCTCTGCGCACTTTGTGTATTATGTACAGATACAATCTACAAATAACACTTTTGTATCTACGGACATTCCGGAAAAGACGAAAGGCAGAGCAGTATGAAGAATGTCGGCGAGATTGACAGCGATATAGAAAACATAATTACAACGATAGCGATTTCTATCATATATAAAAATCATCCAAACAAACGGGGAACGGAACTCCGCGGGATTTCAATTCATACAAAAAAAAGATCGGCGAAAAAAAGGAATACCACGAAGTAAAACGCGGTACTTACTTTCTCGCCTCTCTCTCTCTCTCTCTCTCCGACAAGTCGTTAAAAAGATTTATTATTGCGAATTTACTATTGGGCTTTCCGTGAGCGTAGATCTGCTTATTCTCCTTCAGAATTTTACATTTATTTTTTTTGGAGAGGAGGATAATTTATATTACACGACTTTTTCGCATTTTCGCGATTATTTCTCTCTTGAAATTCAGAGAAATCGCTCTCGCGTTTATCGCGGCGTGGCATGTCGCAGAGGGAGAAGAGGCCCCGGGACGTCCCCGTAGCGGTATTTACGTCGTAGGACTGTCCTACCATTAATTTTAGAGTACGCCTTCGTAAATTCCTTTTTGTCTCTAACGCGCGACGGCCGGCGACGGCTTTCTCTCTTGGGCGCTCGAGCGCCCAAATAAAACGAGCACGGAGATGCACAAATATGAATCGTTACGTATTTCGTATGCCCTGCGCGTACATTACGCGCCGCGGCTGATCTGCGAATCGACACGAATTACGTTAATTGCCGTTGAGCCACGTTACATTTCTTGTCACTTAACTATTTCCCTGTCATTTCTAAATTCTCACCCTTATCGCATTTGTACGCGGATCGTCTCTTCGAATTATTGCGGATTCAACAGTTAACAGAAATGCGCGGAGGCGCGAATGTCTCTCCTAACGAACATTGGTACTTCGAGCTCGAGACGAGTAATGTTGGGGACAGCTTAAATTACTTGCAATCGGATTCCCTCGAGGATACGGGCGACGTGTCTCGTAAATCGTCAGATCGCCGTCTTGCGTCGCACGCGGGCAGAGGCACGTAATACCGTTTTCAAACGCGTCCCAAGGCGGTGCGCGCGTTCTTAATTGCGGCACAAGGGGCGAATAGATGACAACGTGTCGGGGACTACGGGGACGAGGGATTACAAAAAGCAAGTCGGAAACTCGACCAAAGTGAACAATCTCTGCCGGCGGACGTCCTCTCGTTACAATTATTTTCGCCGATGATCTAACCCGACTGTCGCTTTCTCTCTCTCTCTCTCTCTCACTCTCAATCTGTCTTTCTCTCCCTCTCACGCTACAGTTTAGCTACCTATGAACATCTTTTTGTATACGTCTCTATATACATATCAATATATAACATTTAAGCGGCGTATACGCATCACAATATATCGTTTCTCGCAGCTCTCAATCCGTTCGATAGGTTATTACAAAGTAACGGCCACTTTTACGTTCGATAAAAGCGGTAGTACGAAGGTAAACTAATGGTCGAAAAAACTTACGGGTCGATCAGTCGATTGTATATATGTATATAGACGTGTTTCTTTTCCTTTTTATGCACGCGTATATACGCGCGTGTATGTGTACCGTGTATCGCGTGTGGCGCGCGAATGAATACGTATGACTGGTACACGTTTTACAATATTGTACGCGCTTAAACGCACTGCTCCTGAACACCGTGCACGCTCTTTTTCCTTCTTTTAAGTTTATTCGTACGTCTACAGAGTATGTAAAAAAAAAAAACGTTCGCATATATGTGCGCGTCCCGTGTACAATCCACTTTCGGGGGGAAGCGTTTCCGCGCGCCGGAAACCAGAGGCGCATTGGTTCCGTGGAAAGTAAGTAAGGCGGAGGTCCATCCCTCGTCCTGGTCGAAATTTCGATTTCGACCAGCGGCGCGGCTAACAATAAGCCTAAAGCCTAGTGCAGACTGCACGCAGCAAGCAGCAAGCGTCGAGCAGCAGCCAATCAACGAAGAGATATTTTCTACGCCACTGCTGACGCTTCCGCAAAATTCAGCAGTGTTGGATCCTCGCTGCTTGACGCTTGCTGCTTGCTGCGTGCAGTCTGCACCAGGCTTTAGAGAAGATGATCCTCGCGAAATTAGCAACGCGCGTCCCTCATTTCCGACACGCAGAATCTTTCCCGTTTAATTAATCGTTATACGCTAACGCATCTCGTTTTGTTTCTCTCTCTCTCTCTCTCTCTCTCTCTCTCTCTCTCTGTTGTCTCGCTTGCTTCGCAATCGTAAAAAAAGGAAGAAAGAAAAGATTCGAACTCTTATCACAGTACATCGTATTACTGTAGTACAAAGCTCCGGTCGAGGAGGAGGCGTAATTTTTTTTTCTTTTTTTCGTGCGAAACGAGCTTGGCACGCGGCGCACTTTTGTCTCCCGAGAGTACGCGCTGCACCGAGGAGGGAAGCTGGGAAGGCACAGTGTATGTACATGTACTATACGTATGTACAGCACCGAACGACGATCGGAGATCGCACACCCGGGACTCGTGGCACGTCTTAGACCCGATCGCGTGGCCATTCGATTCAGTACTGTCCCCTCGCGACGTAGGTCTCGCCAAAGAACTTGTGCTGCTGTACGGGCATGACTCTCAAATAAACGGTGAATTATAAGAATTTGAGTTGATAAAAATTCACGAGTAAAAATTGTTCGGTCAATATTTACATTATTTCGTTTTGCAATGATTGTTAAAATATACGAAAGAGAGATACACTAACGTTTACGTGTCGAACAGTAGTTTTTCTCTCTTTCTCGTCAATAATATAAGTTCTACGAAGTGTAACGAGCGTGCGGATAAGTTTGCGATAAGCCCGTTTGTAACTTACCGAATAATTGTCGAGGTACAGCCGCACGTTCGATTACTTTCTGCGCTACGTTACGGGTCATTTAGCTTCCTTGAATTGTCCTGTCCGTTACTACATACCGATGAATCCGCGCTGTTCCTTGAACTTTTCCGAACGACTGACACGAGAACGAGAGCGCGATTACCCGAAAAAATCCTTTTCAAAGATCCATCGTGAAAGGTACTCTCTGTCTACGTCTATCCTCTGTTTCGTCGATGTTACTCTTTTCGCTTCATGCTTCATCTTTACGAGACTAAGAATTTTCCCTGCCATGCTGAATTCAGAATCCACGCGCGCGAATTCGCGAGCCGGCGCGCGCAGACCATAAACGCAAGTGACTAGACCTACCGGAAGCCCCGACTCTCTCCGCTTCCTCCGTCGGAAATTCTCACACGAGTCTCGAGAATAGCATCGACGCCTGAACGATTAGAGAATAAAATTTAAAAAAATGAGGGGGAGAGAATCTCAAACGCACGCTTCGTAAAGATCTCAAGTCCCATTCGTGTGAGCCTCGATGTGAATCTCTCCGTTCGTACGCGCTCGATGAACACGCTCGCGGACGATCTCCGCTCGATTCCCGTTTCTCGTTCTACCGACGAAAACGGTACGCGACGTTGTTCCTAAAACGTATTACTTCGACGGTGTGTACTTTGGTAAGACTGCTGGGGTTGTGTCGGGGCGACCCGGGCACGGCGCCGCTGGGAATCGCCCCCGGCGCACGCACACGTGTTCTTTTTTTATTTATTTATTATTAACACAGCTCTCGCTAGGACGGAGCTAAAGGCCACGGTCTCTCTCTTTCTCTCTCGCCGTAACATTATCACCAATCCTCCCCGAGAACAACGACGACAACGATGACGATGGGGGGAGCAAGAGGCGCGAGTTGAGGACGAGACTTGACGATGCTTTTTTCGGCCCGGTCAGCCTCGGGGATGATCACCTGCACGGCGCCAGGAGCACCTCGAGCCAGCACGGGCAGGAAGTGACTTCCTGCCGCGAATACTTGGGTCCCCAGCCCTTGACGAAGCTGATGCGGACGGAGTTAATGTCGACGGGGCCGGAGGCGGTGAAGCCGGCGGCCCGGCCACCGCCACCGCCGCCGTATGGAAGCTGCAGGATCTTGGCGCGGTCGAAGATGTTGAGACAGAAACCCGGCGGCACCCGGTAAACCAGCAGCGTCCTCGATTCCGGGTCGTCCAGGGTGGGCGAGTTGACGAAGATCGGGTTCTCCGACCGATTGTACGCCCATACACCGTCCGCTTCTTGGCTGAGCGTTAATCCTGCGACAGAAACACGTTCCCCTCATTACTCGTCACGTACCGGGGTCTTTATGAGTTTAGTACCATCGCGTGTACCAAGTATGCATGTGAAACGCTCTTAGTTGTTCACTGCCCACTCTATACGGCTTGATTTATTCTTTGGCTCAAAACCGAAAGACTTTTATCGCCAGGGAATTGAAAATTTAGGATTAAGATGGCAAGAAGTTGCAAATAATAACGGAAGACGTAATTTGGATTAAAATTAAAATTTCAAACTTTTTACTTGAAAAATACTCTCTAAAAATCTGCATTACCCATGGGATAATCCAAGGGTATTGTGGTGTACAGATTTGCGACATTACTGGGCATTACTAGGCATTTTTTGGGCACTAGGCCTTGCTGGGGCATTATACACAGTAAAAAATGGTGTGAATGTTATTTTAACTTAAAATTTAGAGTGGGCTTTTTGGGACATGTGAAAAATGTTAACATTAACATTGTATTTTTTACTGTGCAAAGATATAATACGATAAAACAAGATAAATAAGATAATAAGATAAAGCGATGCCCACTGGACATTAGTGGGCATTGGTGTACAAGAGTTTGGTCAGCGGTTTCCGAGGGGGAAACCGCTGAGGGCATTGTGGTGTACAAATTTGCGGCATCACTGGGCATTACTAGGCATTTTTTGGGCATTAGGGCTTGCTGGGGCATTATAAATATAAAATAAGGTAAAATAAGGTGATAAGATAAAGTAATGCCCACTGGGCATTAGTGGCCATTGGTGTATAAGATTTTGGTCAGCGGTTTTCCCCTCGGCGGTTTCTCCCTCGGGATAACAAAACACAATATACTGCCTAACATCTTATAATTATTGCGAAAATATAGTTATTATGAAAATTATTTATAAACTTACGTCTAACAATACACATTTCCAATAAACCTGAAGATTCTACGTGTGTGGAAGAAAAAGTTAAAAACAACTTTATTCTTGGCAAGAAATGGCACAAATGAGCACATAAGTCTCTAATATCTTTAATAAGCCTGGCAGATTCCTAGAAAAAAGAACGCACTGGCTCTTAAAGCAAAACAAAAAAATGAGGACGTTCTTCGAAACGGATGGGTTTCCGCGAAGGGACTTACCGAGACCGATTTTGTTGCGCGTACGCTGGACCGCGGACGTCGCATTGTGATTCTCGGCCAGAGTCGCCAGACAGAGGCCGTCGCCGTCGTGAAGGGAGTCGAAGACGTTCACCGTCGATGGTTCCACGGGATACAGACGGCCGACTCGACCGTCCAGTTCCCAGTACGCCAGGGTGCACCATTCCCTCTGTCCCGTATCACCTGCGAAAGAAAAAAAAACCCGGGGACGTTTTATTGAGGATTGCTGGTCTGCATCATGCGCGTCGAGTATAAATGACATTACATTTGCTTCCTACATTTCGTCCCCCTTTGCGCCAATACCATGAATCTGCGATTTGGTAAATTCTTGGGAATTCACAATTGAAAGTGTCCTATTATCAAATATGTTCCTAATATGAGATAGCGAGGTTTCTGCTAAATTAATAGACAACATTCTGTTGGTTCCATCGTGAGTTTATTGCCCTTAGAGCGAAGTATGTTTAATGGAATTCTTGGAAATTCACAATTAAAAGTGTCCTATTATGAGATATGTTCCTAATATCAGATAGTGAGGTTTTTGATAAATTAATAGACAACATTTGTTGGTTCCATCGTGAGTTTATTGCCCTTACAGTGAAGTATGTTTAATGGAAAATGCATTGTTTGACGTGTAATCGTCGCGAAGAAAGAGTTGCGATTGAATTTGGACGTTGAAACCTGCTATCTTAAATTAGAAGCCTACCTCATAATAGAGGACTTCCCTCTATTTTTTTTGCTATGCTACACTTTTATCGTTTTGAACGTGCAATTCGGTAAATCTTGGAAATTCACAGTTAAACGTATATGTATTGTTTGCTGTGCTACACTTTCATCGTTTTGGCATAAGAGGGACGCTTTCCATTCGCGAATTAAAAAGCCGCAACGGGTACAATTACAGTCAAGTATATCAAATTTCTCTTTTCAAAATAGTCACGTTAAATAAATACACGAGACAGCATTAGCGTGTTACGTACTAATACGTATATAAAATTTAAGAAGACGACAAGGAATCCTCCAATAGTTCGCGAATTTACGATTCTTTATTTGCCCTATCGATTTAAATACGTGGATTTATTGTTTCAACGAAAAGCTGCGTTTTAAATACCGACAGATAATCGACGTGCAGTTTACCGAGTTGAAAAACTTGACACAGAGGTATTATTGTTAGACTAGATCCGATCTAGATCCAACCCGACGAAAAATGGCATCCTCTCTGTTTAGCTTATTCTTGTTAATCCTCTTTGCGCGCCGAATAGAGAAAATCTCAGCAAGACTGTTTTAAAGCAAAAGACGTTTAAAAAATACGGTATTTATTTGTAAGATCTCCACTGTTACGTTGTTTGATATCTGTAGAATATTGTTTATCTGCTCCACGTCGGGAAAAGATTGAAGACTTTAGGCCTCTTCCATTGTCAGATTATCTCACCGTCGCTTTACAAACCATTCTTTTTTTCTGCACTGTCACACGCAAATAAATGGTTTGCCGCATGCGTCGGGTGCGATCACCTTATAGTCGGAAACCGGACAGCACGAATTACCGTCGCGAAGGATCGGGCCATTGTATAGTTCTACGCTTAATCACATTCGTCGAAAGTAAATCGTCTAGACACGTCGATTTTCCATGTTGTTTATCTACCGGATGTCGCCGAGACAAGGAGACCCTTCCGCAATCTTTTGTCAACGAGTGGCTCTTTCCGGTAAAGAGGTTCACTGCGGGGAGAAGCTGCGGGCGATGTTACAAAGGGGCGCCCGGCAAATCCCACGCTTTTCGTCGCTACGGCGTCTCCGGTGACGTCGCCACCGCTTGGGATCGGCGCCAGGATCCCGCAGGCCGGACGTAGCGGCCGGGCAAAATGAGAATTCAGACGGAGGAAGACATAAGGTGCACCGCATGATGGTGCAATGTCGAATGGTGCTTGAGTTCGAGTCCAGAATACAATGACACGGGACGGTCACGGATTAATGTTAACACGATCACCGTGACACGTCTTGACCAATGTTACCGGTCTTGCTGAGATTTTCTCTAGTCTTATAGATTTAACTTAATATTGTGTGTATGTGTGTTTATGCAATATTTAACAAATACTCTCGCCTCCTTCTGACGTTTATTAATATTTATTGTATTTTATCCCTTTGAAGCACATATATGTCACACCTTTCAAAATTAAAAAACCAGCTTCTTTCACTCCGATGTCTTTATGTCCAAAAGAACCATTAAATATTAAATTTCAGAAAAATCGGCTGAAAGGAAAAATGTGTGCTTCGAAGGGTTGAATATTATTTTCTCTATTCTCATCAATATTTAGCATTGAATATTTTTTCCTAATGTCTAGTAGTGTATTTTAATATTGCGAGTGATGTTTCGTTGCATAACACGAAATGTAAACTGAGATCCTTTAAACTCTCGGACACCATACAACTCTTTTAATGCCCGTTTCTTACCGATGCAGATTAACTTTAATCTCGGTTTGAATTACTTTTTATATTTTCTTTAATTTTTAAAACTACAAAAAGATCTAAAGTAAGTTGAACCGTGACCAAAGTTAAACTGCATTGGTAGAAACGAGCACAAGTCACACGCTCGTATCTCTGTATTTTTTTACGTCTTCTTTTACTTTTTCGCAACTTATTTCCAATATTACAACTCAATTTTTTCGCAAACAGTCCTACAAAACTTTGTTATTTATATTGAACTGCTAAGCGAGGAAAAGCAATATTACACGTTATTTATCGAGTTTATTTTTTCATATGAAAGCAAGATCTTCAAAATCACTATTAAATTTCCGTAGCGTCCTAAAAATTGCGCCCGACAAAACAGCCAGCGACTGAAAATAAAATCGCTGACAAGACATAAATTCCCGACGAAGTACGAGCGTTCGAACGATCCGTGGATTACTCATTGTTTACACGGCACGTTGAACATATAATTTACATAGTATACATATAGACGTCGATCATATTTTAAGCGTAAACGCCCAACACCGTTGCTACGCTGCAGCGCGTCGCGACGCGCCTCCGAGCGAGCGATTTCGCGTCACCTAGCGCGCGACCGTCGAAGACGTGGCGAGCGTTTGCCGATGATCGGTAACGCGATCGACGACCGCGGAGGGGAGTCCGGGCCCCGGGGGAGACCTCCGACGAGACGATCGGGGGCTCGAAGGATCCGGCGGATCGAAGGCTCGGTCGCGAGGGCGACGAAAGCGTGCGACGCGACCGTCGAAGACGAGGCGATCGCTTGCCGATGATCGGTAACGCGATCGACGACCGCGGAGGGGAATCCCGGGCCTCGGGCCCCGGGGGAGACCTCCGACGAGACGATCGGGGGCTCGGGGGATCCGGCGGATCGAAGGCTCGGTCGCGAGGGCGACGAAAACGTGCGACGCGACCGAAAAACAGCCTTATCGCGACCGCAATAAACATCGTTCGATCTCCGAGGCCCCCGCTCGGACATCTCGGGGGTCGGGGCTTGGCTCGGTTCGGCTCGGCTCGGCTTGGCTTGGCTCTCTCTTTCCGCGCGGCACCGCGACGAGAGCTGGCGAGTGCGTGCCGTAGAGCGGCGTCGCGCACGGGAAAGAGAAAGATGGGGCGCGGGCGGCGGCGGCGGTGGCGGCGGCGGCGACGGCGGCGGCGGCGGGGAGTCGGGGGGCCCCTTGTGCTTCCACCACAGATAAAAATAGATATTACGAGTTTACCGCGGCGCCAAGATTGCGGGGTATCGCGACGATTACGTCATCGGTAGTAGCGCGAGTGGTTGGAGCAAGGACGCCTGTCGCGTCGCCCGCCGTCGCCAACGTCGTCGCCGTCGTCGTCGACGTTCGACGTCGTCGTCGCCGTCGAATTTTCATGTTTATCTGCGATCGTCTGCGGTCCTTTAGCAGTCTCTGGCCGCCGCCGCCGCCGCGGCCGCCGCACGGCTTTTATTCCCCATCGTGTTATCGCGCCGCGGACCAGAAGCGCGAAATCAACCGCGAGGTAGATACGCCGGGTATACAGGGTGTCCCGAGAGGCAACCGCGGTCGCACGAAACTGTCCGGACATTAGGGCGATCGAGACGAGTGCTCTCGCTTCCGACGCTTCAAGGCGCACCGGAAGACAGTTTGGTTCCAAGTGATCTACGCGGGGGAGGGAAGATCTCGCGAGTTTGCAGTGCGCGCGAGGCATATCAGATCCGCCTGTGCTCGCCGTCGGAATTCTCGACGTTGGAGTAAAAGCGCGATCCTTCTCGATCCCGCGGCTCCCGGGTGGGGGAATAAATCATGGGGGATAACGCGCCGTCGGGGAGGAAGCGCGAGAATCGCGAGGTGCGTCCCGCGTGCGTCTCGCGATACAATAAACGCAGTCACGAAATGTGGGACACGCACACGCGCGCGGGGCTCGGAAAATTGGAAGCAGACTGAAAGCCCTGTAATAAAGCAATTCTGTCGGTTCTCTGAAGATCACGATAAAGAAGCAATTACGGAATTGACTGCAGCTTGCCGCAGCTCTTAAGTGTCCTCATTTCTCTATATCGAGATAGAGGAAGAGAGAGAGAGAGAGAGAGACAGACGGGACGTATTATTTCACGTTTAGCGACGTACGTCCGCGAGTCTTTTATTTTCGTAATCGCTCCCGTTTCCAAGGATCTTGCAGCCGGATTAAGAAAAACCTCAATGAAACGGTGCCGGCGACCGCGGCGCGAGAATTATTTGCCGTCCTTTGCGCCGTCAGAGAGAGAGAGAGAGAGAGAGAGAGAGAGGGAGAGAGAGAGAACTTCAATTCGTTAAATTCTTCTAATCGCGCATGACGTCGATTCTACGCGAGAGCGTTAATATATAACATCAATACGTAACTAATACGAAAATGCGAGTCACGTCTCAGGTACCAGCGAGTTAAATTTTTATAATGAACTAGAGAAGAAGCCGTTTTCGATCACATTGGTTCATAGTCTAATAATCAAGGGGGTAACCACTAGCTAAAATGTCCCACCGATTACATGATTTCATTAGATTTCGTACGATTTCATCTGATTAGAAATAATTTTATCTAATGAAACACGTTGCCTTTTATGATATCGACAATACAGTATAAAGTTGTAAAAGAGCAGAATTCAAGTGATTTTGTCTATAAATTTCTCGGGCCGAATTCTAGCATCGTGAACATCGTGACGTCTAAAATGCCGATAACTGACGTTTTTAATTCCGTCT